GACCAGCCCAGCGTCTGCAGCCTCGCGCGCTTCGAAGGGGTGGCGCGCCGCTACCAGCTCTGGGAGGAGAAGTACGCGGAGCGCACTCGGGCTTCGACCGAGGGCGTCGTCGCGGCGGGTCTCGCGGCGGAGCGGCGCCTGTTCCATGGCGGCGGCCGCGCCAAGGGCTACGCGTTGGTTTCGCCGGAGCTGGAGCGCTGGGTGGCCAAGCGAATGGGGGAGGAGGCCGCGGTGCTCAAGGAGCGGAGGAAGCGCCGCGAAGAGCGAGCGGCGGTGGCGGCTGCCACGTTGCCGCCAGCGCTTGCGCCAGGCAGCAAGGAGAAGGCCAAGAAGACAAAGGGCGGCCAGACTGGCGCCTCGGGCAGCGGCTGGGGGGGGGGGACAGGCCTGGCTGCTCATCGGCGCGTGCTGTTCGGCAGCGACCTCGGAGCTCCCCCGAACGAGGGTCGCATGTGCACTTGGGGAGGTGTCCGAGCCTGCGCGCCGCCGCAAGGCCGCCGGGTCCCGCGGCGGATCCCAGGGACCTGCTGCCCTGGCCGGCTGCGCCGCCGCTGGGCTGCTGCGCTGATGGCTGCTCTGCTCAGGCGTGGTTCCGCGAGGGCTTGCGAACCCCCAATTAGATGGGGGGGGGGCGCGGTGCCGCTCGGCGCGCTGGGCGAGCGTCTGGCAGGCACGTCGGTGCGCTGAAGCGGCTCGAGAGCTCCTTCGTCGCAGTGTCCCGCTGCCCGTCGGACCTGACCGCCGAGTCGGCCGCCCTTGCTGTCGTCGGCTCCGATCCTGGCAGCGCCCCCGACGACGTCGCCAGCGGGAAGTACGCCACCTAACGGCGCGGGAAGGGGTCGCTCCCGCGCGTGGCTTCAGGGGTGGTCAATCTGGCAGATGTGCTGCCGCCAGCAGCACGCTCGCTGCTGATGGGTGAGACTGGGGCCTTGCATGAGGGGGGCACCATCACATCTTCTTTCGCGCCGAGTGCGCAATTGGCTTTTGACAGGGGGCTCGCGCGCAGCCTAGCCGCCTGCGGGAAGTTCGTGGCCGACCTGCTCGAGAGTGACATGCGCGAGGTTGGTGCCTCTTTCACGCAGGTTGCGCCCTTCTTTGTCTATGGGAAGGACTCTACCCCCGGGCTGGTCTTCGACGCCAGGGACGCGAACGCCATGTTCGCGGACCCTGACTGCGCCCCCCTTGCAGTTGCCCTGGCCGTGGGCTCCGTGGAGGTGCCGCCTGGGCAGAGGCTCTGCGTCGCGCATGGCGACGTCGCTCGCTGTTTCTACCAGTTCCTGCTGCAGCCGGGCCTGCGCGAGGCGTTTGGTTCGCCGCCGGTGCCTTCGGCTGCGCTGCCGGCGGCGGCCCGCCGCGCAGTGGGGGCCCGCCCGCCTGATGGGCTCGTTCGCCTGCGGCTGCGCGTGGTTCCGATGGTCTGGTCCTGGGCATTCGACTTCATCTCGCAGGCCATGCAGCGCATCCTGGGCGCCTGCGTCCCAGCGGATCGCCTGCTTGCCCTGTGCGTGCCGCGCGCGCCCGCGCAGCCTGGCTCTGGCGTCTCGCTGATCTATATCGGCAACTTCGCGGCGCTCGCCGCGTCGCAGGGGGAGGCAGACCGCCGCTTGGGGGAGATGCTGGCCGCTGTGGCTGCCGCGGGGGTGGGCGCTGGTCCCGGGCCTGTGGGCCAGCCGCCGCTGGGCTTCGAGCTGGGCGGTGCTGGTGCGCAGTGGCGCCCGTCGGCCCGCGAGTTCAGGCGCGCAGCGCTCGCCTGGCGCGCTCTGGGCTGGGGCAGGACTCGCAGCGCGGGGCGCCAGATCGCCCGAGTGGCGGGCCGCGCCTCGGCCGCCGTGTTGCCGCGGCCCGAGATGCCATCGGTCTTCTCGTCGGTCTACGTCTTCGCCGACCGCTTCTTCGCCCGGTCAGCCCGGGTTTGGGCTTCGGTGCGGAGGGAGCTGCGAGCGGCTCTGGCGCTGCTGCCGCTGGCCTTCGCGGACGTGAGCCTACCTTGGTTGCCGTCCGTGGCGTCGGTGGACGCCTCGCTGCGCGGCGTCGGCGTGACCGAGAAGGACGGGGGAGTTGCCTCCGTCGGCGCTGCCGGGAGGGCCTCGGAGCGCGGCCGCTCCCGCGGCGCCCTTCGCACCAACCGCCGCTCTCGCGACCTCGCGGAGGGGGGGGGGGGGGGCGGGGCCTTCCCAGGCGGGCCTCGCGGAGGCCTCCGACGCGCAGCTGAATGCGCTGGGGCTGCAGGCTGCCTTCCAGGTTGCCCCTATCGACCTGGCGCGGGGTGGCGACTGGCGCGTCGTTGGCGCGCGGCGCCGGCGCCGCCGC